ACAGGGAAAGGCATTTCAAGTAGACAGATCAGGGTAAACCTGGGAGGAGGCAAACTGTAAATTCCAGGTGGTGGCCTACAGATATCTGATTGTCTTCTGCATGGCCCCAGGCTTTCGCTGGGTCTTTTCAGGGCATTATGCGTTGCTGTGGCTTTACATTTATACAACCTCATCATCACATTGTATGTACCTTGGTTTAGCAAGTGGTTCTCCTGGGAATTCTGCCAACGTGGTCACTAACATGCAGACTTCTTTCTTTGGATGGAATCAGGCAGGTCCTCACTGTCTCCTTTCTTGTCAATTGGCTGTTATTTTCTAGTTCTTTTACAACCAGGTAAAAGGAAGTTCCTTACATTGTAGACTCTCCTAAATTGCTAGAACCTAATGTAGTGCAAATCTTCACTTAATCAGATCTCATAAATGATTAACCCAAATGTGTTTTCTTCAGTTTCTAGATAAAGTTAATCATCCTTGAGGACCAAAAATTCACATGAAAATGGGGAACTTGCTTGTTCCCCTCTCCTTCTGTCTAGATTTACTTTACAAAACAAAAGTGATTGCACAGAAGATGGAACCCAGAGTTTCAGTGTTTATTTTCCAAATGAGCTGGTGTGATCGGAACCCTCTCCTCTTCATACACCTGTCTGACAACCGAGGGCGGGGGGGGGGGGGGGTTGTCCTGGCTGAAACAGTGGGCATGAAACGGAGAGTGTGAGGGCGCCTCCACTGCGTGCCCGAGGGAAGGCACGCAAGAGCCTCCTCACAGCTTCCCGAAACAGCACTAAGGTAAACTGGAGGCTCCAGAAGAGAAATGGGATCATCTGGAGGAGAGAGTATACTTTAGGTGATTCTTCAGAATAATTCCGCCGCAAGCTCAGGGAGTCTTCCCCTGCTCTGAGCCCTGCTGCCGGTCGCCGAGATGGGAACGGAGCCCTGAGTCTGTCCGCGTGGGCATCGGCCCCGGGGCTTCGGAGCCGCAAATGTCTTTGCCCAGCAACACTGTGGCGGGAGGGCCTCGACTCCCCAGAGATGAGCGGACCGCTCACCTCCGTCAGAGCCTATCAGCATGCAGTTTGTCACCGGCGCCCAGTGCCGCTGGAGAAAATGGTTTCTGTATTCATAGAGATAATTTCGGTTGATAGGAATAGCATCAGGGGAAGACAATGGCGTCACCAAATCAATACTTGAGCTTCACAAATTAATGTCTTGGCTCTGGCTCTGCGTTTATATTCAGGAGGCCACCGCTCCCAGACAGAGACGCTAAATGGGACAGACATTTCACTCCCAACAACAGCAAATGCCCTTTTCTTAATGAGGAGTCAACTAGAGGCTTGATACGTTCAAGAAAATTCATCGAGAAAGTCCACTAACTGGGAATTTTACACTGTTTATTGTGGCGCGCCTCTAGGAGAGAATGCAGGGAAGCTGGGAGAGGGAGCTTCACGCCTGGCATGAATGCTGGTTATGAGGATAAATCTTTCTACGCCCATGTTCATAGCAGCGTTACTCACAATAGCTCAAACAGAGAAGCAACCCAAGTGTCTGTTGATAAACAAATCATAAACAAAATGTGATATATACAATACAGTATTATTCAGCCTTAAAAAGAAATTCCGATACAAGCTACAACGTGGATGAAACGTGAAGACATTATGCCAAGTGAAGTAAGCCAATCACGAAAGGAAAAATACTACATGATTTCTCTTGTACAAAGTACCTAACATACTTGCATTCACAGAGACAGAGGTAGAATGGTGGTTAGCAGGGGTTATGGGAGGGGGCAATGAGGGTTATTGTTTAATAGGTACAGAGTGTCAGTTTGAGAAAATGAAAAAGTTCTGGAAATAGGTGGTGGTAATGGATGAACAACTATGTGAATGTACTTATTGCTACTGAACTGTCCTGGCTGGTGTGGCTCAGTTGGTCGGAGCATCATCCTGTAAACCAAAAGGCCATGGGTTCAATTCCTGGTCAGGGCGCATGCCTAGGTTGCTGGATCGATGTTTCGCTCTCTCTCTCTCCTTCCCTTCTCCTCTCTCTAAAATCAGTAAGCATGTCCTTGGTTGAGGATAAGAAAGAGTTCATGAAAATGGCTAACTGGTGAATTCATGCTATGTATATTTTGCCACAATAGAAAAATAAAACCCTTTCATCCATCAGCCAGAGGTCAAGCCCTTTATTTAAAGAGATCTTAACATCATTGGTTCCAAGGAGACTTCTTGGAAATGATCAGTAGGCTACAAAAGGCTTAACCCCTAAACTGAGTTTACTCTTGAACATAAATTTATAATCACAGAGGGCGACGCACTGATTACATATCACTCATGATCGCACCATGGCGACACAAGGGTTACCAGGGAGTTCTCCTACCTTGTGGATCAGGGCTTTTCACGCCTGAATGTACATGGGAGTCACCCAGGCACCTGTTAGAAATGCAGATTCTGGTTCAGTAGGTTTTGGGTGGGGCTTGAGATTCTGCTTCTCTAACCAGCTCCCAGGTATTGCTGATTCTTCAGGTCTGAGGACCCCATTTTAAGTACCAAGAGTGTAGTCCCCTCTTCGGTTAGGACTCCTGCCCACATCTTGGGAGTACTAGCCCCCTCATGAAAACTGAACACAGGCCGCGGGCATCTCCAGGTTTCAGTGGAAAGAGAAAATCTGGGTGATATGAATTATTTTGGAATCCTCTCATTTTGATTTTTCCTGCCATCAAAAGTCAGGTGTCAGGGATCTATAACTCCTTTTTTTTTTTCCCACCCCCAAGCACGGAAAAACCACAAGTAAAGCCCTTGCCCTTTACGTATAGGCCAGATAAGGGGTATTTTCCAAAATCATGCTTCTAAGAACGAAGAAAAGAGGGAAGGAGGTGGGTGGAAGACAAGCAGTAAAGAGGGAGAGGAAAAGAGAGAGAAAGATAGAGAGAACAGGAAAAAGAAAACAAATCAAAGGGAAGAGCCTTCTTTTGAAGTGCTCTGTAAGAATTCTTTGTGGCCCTCCATTGCTCTCAGGCTGAGAGTTCAGACTCCACAGAAAGGCTCATCGGATGAGGCCCCGTCCCCTGTTGCCATTCCCGTCCACGTCCCACCGGAATGAATTCTGTTCTTCCGTGCTTTTACCGTTGCTCTCCCGTTGACCTGGAACCTCATCCCCTCCTTGTATCACCTGCCTCAGGCATTGTCTCTTCTGGAAGGACTTCTCTGACCATGTTGCCACTCTCATTTCCTCCACTTTCTGTTGGGTTGTCCTTCTCTGTCTTCAGATGCACACAGTGCTTACCTCTAACAATGGCACTTCACCATAAGTCCTCATTGTTTTCCCTTGTCTATGTTCCCTGTTGGACTGTGAGCTCTTTGAGGGATGAGACAATGTCTTTTGTCCCTACCACATTGTCTAGAACATATGAAGCGCTGGAACAATGTTTGTTGAAAGAACGAGCAAATGAAAATTGTAAATGTATCCCTGGCTGGTGTGGCTCAATGGATTGAGCGCTGGACTGTGAAGCAAAGGGTCGCCAGTTCGATTCCCTGTCAGGGCACATGTCTGGGTTGCTGGCCAGGCCCCCGGTAGGGGGGGCGTGTGAGAGGCAATGACATGTTGATGTTTTTCTCCCTCCCTTTCACTTTCCCTTCCCCTCTCTCTAAATAAATAAAATCTTAAAAAAAAAAAAAATTGTAAGTGTATGACATTTGAAGAAGACATTGCTTAGTTTATAACACACCATGAAGTTGCCCTCAGAATGACTTTTCTAAAGGTCAAATACATTGACACCAATTTCTGTGTTCCAGCAACTGTGACTGAACTCCCCTATTCTGATAAAGTGTATTTCCCCAGCTTCCTCATTTTATAGTATCTTCCCTGGAAGACCAAATGCAAAAAAAAACCCAAAAACCCCAAAAACCAAAAAACAAACCAAAAAAATCAAAAGATGATAACAGTACTTTTTAAATAAAATTTAGCAGAAGGCTAGAGTCTCTTTGGTTATTAGTGAGCTAGTTGTACTATCCTTATGGCCAATTTGACCTTAAAATAAGTCTTCAAATTTGCAGTGGCTCCAAATTTGAGGGACATGTAGCTTTTACTAACAACGTCCAGATTGCTGTATCTATGCGTGTATCTGTAAATTTTTACATAGATTACTGCCTGCTTTATGCAAAGTACTGTGCCAGGACCTATGGGCATTACCAAACTTGCCCTTTACTTGTCCGGTCTGTGCCGTTTAATTCCATGGCTTTAGCACCTACCCAACTCCCTGTCAATCTCTACCTTCCATCTCTCTCGTCAACTCTAGACACATATTTCTAACAGCCAGTGGGGCTTGCCCACCTGAATGTCCTGTGGACCTCTTAAATGCAGCACATCATTATCTTTCCCCCGAAACGTGTTCTTCTGTTACCTGTCATGGTTAATGGAACCCTCATTTCCTCAGCTGTGCAGGCTAGTGATTTCTGTCATTCTTAACTTCTTCCTTTCTCATATCATCTCCCATCAATCAATTATGAAGTCTTGTTTATTCAGTCTCTCAATTCCTCCTTCAACCCATTCTGTTTCCCCTTTATCTTTCTTCTTTTTTGTGGGGGGGGAGGTGGTGAATAAATTCCACATGGATTAAAGATGTACATTTTTAAAATGAAAGACTTCTCAAGAGAAGAGAACATGGATATTTGTATAACCTTGGGATGGGAAAGGTTTCTAAATACCAGAAGAAAAAGGGCAGAAACCATGAATGAAATGACAGATTTATTTGACCAGCTATCTCATGAGACTCACAGAGCCTTGTAGCCTCAGGTCTAACAGTGACAGTTTTTCAATCTCATCACTTTTCAGATGCGAGATAAGCTGTCACCTGGTGAATTTACAAAAGGACCCTTGATTTGAAAACAGGACTATCTAAGGGTGTCCTGGAGTAACTGGGACTCAGCTCAACTCTTCAGGATCTAACCATGCTTCTGTGCCCCGCAGCCAACCCAGCATAAAGTTATTCTTGGGCATTGCATGTACTCACTTCCCTTTAGTTGATTTACTTCTAGTCTTTAAAACTGCACTGTTCCTGGTGCAGCTGCTTTAGAAAACAGTTTGGCAGTTTCCTCAAAAAGTTAAATATAGCTATCAATGTGGCCCAGCAATTCCACTCCTAGGTATATATACCTTGTTCCCTTCATTAGATATTTTCTTTGTGGACTTATCAGAATCTTCAATCTCCATAATAGGAAATTGCTGTCAGTTTGTTCACTCTTTCTCTATTGAATTAATCCATCGCTGTCATCAGCAGAGGCATTAAATGTTCTCTGTTACTTCTGTTTCACTAGTTTTGTGCTTCTTTTTTTTTTTTCTTTTTTCAATCTTCAGTCATCTCGGCAGCTTGGGATGGGGCGCTCTTCCCTTTTTCAATTATCAAGACCTTAGGACCTTACCATTTCTCACCTAGATTGTGATTTTATTTATTTCTAGAGAGGGGAAAGGAAGGAGAAAGAGAGGGAGAGAAATATCGATGTGTGAGAGAAGTATCTTGATCAGTTGCATCTCACACGCCCCCAGTTGGGGACTTGGCCCACAACCCAGGCATGTGCCCTGACCGGCAAGTCGGTGTTCAGTCCACTGAGCTTCTCCAGCCAGGGCTCACCCAGATTGTTGAAATAACCTTCCTGTTGATTTCTTTGCCTCCAGTCCCACCCCAGGATAACTCTTCCTTCAGACTGCTGCCAGAATGTCTTTCTAAAGCCCAAATGTAATATGGTCCCTCCTTTACTTAAAGTCCTCCAACAAATCCCTTCTATCTATAAAATAAAGTCCAAAGGCCATGGCAAGATCTACAGGGCTCTGTGTGACTTACCTTTTATCCCACTTACCTTTTCAACCTCCTCTCTGACATTCTCCCTACATACCTAACTCTGCCCTTTCCTCAGCACACCAGGCTGGCTCCTTCCTCAGGGACTTTCCAGATGCTGGAAATTTCAGCCTAGAAACGTCCTGTTTATCTCCAGGCTCCACCTAGATGTCACCTCCTTTGTGAAGAGTTCCGCTCTAGGCACTCAGTGCATGCTTCTATTATAGCACCACTCACGTTATAATTATTTTTTATATGCCTCCTTCCATACTGGACGGAGCTTCTAGAAGGTAGGGGCCATGTCTCACTCTGTTTTGCCTCTTGGCCTTTGACACAGTACTTGGTGCATCTCCAGCTTGTCATGAATGTTCAATGAGTGACTGACTGAATAATTGAATGAATAAATAATTGATCGTGATATGAGTCAGAATAAAAAGAGTAAGAAAGATACAAATAAACTGCTGCTGTGAGGTGTTCAGAGGACTGAGTCATATTTATTTGAGAGACCAAAAAAGACTGTGTGCAAAGGGGAAGGTTGTTGGGGGGCTGGATGAAAAAGGTGAAGGGGCTAAGAAGTACACACGGGTAGTTACAGAGTACTTATCGGGATGTAAAGTACGGCATAGGGAATCTAGTCAGTGATACCATAACAGCTATGTATGGGGCCAGGTGCACACTTGAAACATCAGGGGACCACTCTGTAAAGTACCTGATTTTCTAATCACTCTGTTGTACATCTGAAACTAATAGGGAGTAATAGTGAATGTAAACTGTAATTGAAAAAAAAAATACATGCAAAAAAAAAAAAAAAAAAAGACTGTATACTCAAACCTCAGTTCTCGAGTGTCTCCCATCTCAAACAATTCAGTTCCTGACCCGGTTGTTCATGGAAAAAAAAGTCTCAGTTGTCAAACAAAACTTTGGTTCTCAACCCAACAACCCTTTCACGCTGGTACCTCTGATCAGTCACGCATCTCTCTGGTGACAAAGGAGAGAACGCACAAGTATGAGTAGGATTTGGTTTTCGATCAAATTGCTTCTCAAACAGCCTTCCAGAACAAATGAAGTTCGAGAACCAAGCTCCCCCTGTAATTGATTGCAATCTTTCAGCTGAACCCTATATATTTGTTCATGCCTTAATGCAAGATTCACTCAGATCCAGGCATGGTCCACTCCTTTTCCAACTTCTACCCCCAAAAGAAATTACTTTTAGCTTCTATCTCTGGCATAATATTAGATCTGTAGTTCATTTCAGCTTTGCATATAGTAAGCTGGTTTCTCCTAAGAATTTACCTACTTATCTGCGAAGATTGCCTCTTTTTTCTAAAAAGGGCTTAAGTGGCAGCCTCATGACTGCTTCTGTGTCCCCACGGGAGCCTCTTTTATAGAAGGCACCCAGTAAACGTTTGCTGGGTGAAGAAGTCAAGGGCCGCTCAGGCCCCAGCGGTACTTTTGAGTTGCTTGGCGAGCCCTCGTGTCCCTTGAGAGCCACTGTGGCATCAGCCAAAAGCTCTCCGCGGCCTGCAGGTCTGCCTGCATGTCGGCCCATTCTCGGCTCCTTTGGGCTGCACCTTGTTTCACACACACCTTCTGAACTTAGGACACTGAAGGCCTGTGTGTCCTCCCAGCTCACGGTGCCTGTGCTGCTGATGGGCCCCAGGGCGCCCACTGTTTGCCACCTAAACTCAAATGTCCTTAAGCCTGAAAGAATAACAAACCCACATCAATAGACAGCTGGGGTTTATTTAGTGACAGGTGCTTTGTTTACGTAGAACTGGCATCCTCTCAGGCACATGCTATCCACCTTCCCAAATATAAGAAGCGAGTTCACAGAGCAGAAAAATTCAACCTGAAGGCAGTTCCTGAGGGGCCCAATCAAGGGGAAAAGTCTAGTCACCTCCAGAACTTTCCTAAGGGCCCATTGTGTACCATAGAATCTGGAATCCAAACCCCTGAATTTTCAGGTCTGGGCTTGACTTCCCAGGTAATAATGGGATGTCTGTGTTTTCTGCAGGTTAAATTGTTCCCTCATAGCAGAATTATCCTCTTATTTCCTGTTTTTTCCCTCTACTGTAGACAGTTATTGCCTGCTGCACTTCTCTTTTCCCGATAGGTCCCCACATTTCTGAGCCACGTGGAAAGGGCCCAGCTGCCTTCCATCCAGGGGTGGGCCCCGGGGTTCAAGCCCACCCTGTCACACTGAGCCCAGTTGTTGCTTTAGGCCTGTGACCTGAAATGGTCTAAGCAGAGTGCACCTCAGGAGTCTGCCGGGAATGTTGGGACTTGGACCCTTCTCAGCCTAGTCCTTGGTGCGTCCTATTTCTGCTGCAGCCATAGTGGAAAGCTCAAAGCTACCAGGAGCGAAGGAGAGGTCACATCACATGGGGATGAAAGAATGAACCCACCTAGAGGAAGCGGGGCCAGACGTGGGTCCCTGTTGTTTGAGTCCTGGATCACATTGTGCCTGGATCCCTCACGAGCCAATACATACTCTTTATTGCTTTAGCCTGTGTGAGGTTGTTTCATTTCACTTGGAACATTAAACTTCCTAACTGGTACACCTTAGATTATAAACTATGTGACAGAAGAGACTGTATCTGTCTTGGTCACCATCATAGCCCCTGGCACAGAGTAGGCCTGCAATAGGTACATTTTGAATGAGTACATTTCAGCTGGAAGGAACGCCTTCTAAAAACTCCCCTTCACCCATGTGACCGCTAAGGACTCTGGTCCTGCAGGAGAACAGCGGCATGGCTCTCTGGAAGCCAGGGCCTCACCCACCGGGAAACTCCCAGAAACATGTTGGGGTCTTTGAGAAGGTCCCCAAATAGCAGCCCCCCCCACTTCTCTGCGAGTTTTGAACTGAATTAGGAGATGGCAGTAAGCTAGACGAGGGCCAAAAATAACCTTTATTACTAATAAAGCTTTTATTACTAATAAAATTTACCTTTACTACTACTAATAAATAACCTTTATTACTAATAAAGTTGATGTTAGAGGATGTGGCTTATGTTATCAAGCCAACGAGCTTCCCAATACCCAACCGCAGGATCAGACAGACGTGGCCAGAATGGGGTCCCCTTCCCACGCTGAGGGAGCAGGGCTGACTGCCGAAAAGAAAGAAGGAGAAGATGGTAGGAGGCACAGTGTCCCCTTCCAAACCCATCAGTCATATTAAGCCACTTCTTCCCAGAGAAGAATGAGGGGGAGGGAAGCCAGGAGTGGAAGCCTAATGAGGCTCCTTCTCAAGGCAGGACACAGCCAGAGTGGGGAGATGGGGTCTCCCTGAAGCACAGCAAGCGGGGCTTGGTCAGGTCCATTGACTCGGCTGTGTTTTCAAATATAACGGGTTATTTTTCAAAGGGGTGGAATCTGTTTGCTAAAATACTCTCCATGGAATAACTGACACACCACAGTAATATCCAGCTTCCTAAGACATGAGAGGCTGTTTAAAATCATGCAAAATTCAAAGGAAGAAACAAAGGTTCACGGTAAAATTACACAACCAGGAGCACTAGGTGGCAAGGATCTCGTGCTCACTCATGGCTCAGAGGGCACTTCAAAGGCATCTCCAGAGCACTGGAACCTCACACCTATCGGTTTCTTTCTGGGTGATCTCAGAGCCACACTGTGCTGCTTAGTCACCAGGAGAGCACAGTCAGAGTTTAACTCCTTGGTGCACAGGGGAAGCAGCACGTCACAGTGGATTCCAGGAAACCTAGAGAAATGCTAGCCAGGAAGTCGGTTACCCCGTGTGCCGTTTCCCCGGTGTCAAGGCTGGGGCTGAGAGCATTCTTCAAAACAAATGGTCAAACAATGTGACTATTTGCCACATACTTTTGGATTTACTTACCCGGAACCTTCTTCCGGCTTTAGTTATTTTTGTTTAAGGTAGACGGTTACCATCCAAACTTTAAGAGGTTTTCCCAAAAGGCCATTGTTTGTAAAGTTGAAGTTCGGTGGACAAATGAATTACCAGATAAAAGGGGCAATAGTAACCTCCCAAATGAGCCAGCAGCACATTTAAAAGTCAATGGTGTTTACCGAAAACTGCGGTCTGGGCTGTTAAAAAGGGACTCTAGGCACAGTGAGAACCAGGATGCCCTGAACCCAGGGAGGATCTCCTCGGGTCTGGCTGCTAGGACAGAGCCTTGACCTCATCCTGCGCGGCTCCCCGGCAGCCTTTTTACTGGAGGTCACTAAGTACGCTTCGCTCGGCAGTCACGGTGAGAACCCAAGCTGACAACGGAAACCCACAGCACAGCAGATTGAGACAATATGTTCCCCTCCTCTCTTCTCAAATGCAAAGCTATTTTCTCATCTATTACCTGCCCCTATTTTTACCATCAGGAGCTCTCCAGTGCCACTCGGGCTATCAATAATTGGCAGTGAGTTTTGCAATTAACAATTGCCCAGAATCAATTCCAAGGAATTGCACAGAAACCACTTCCAAAACAGCAGATGTGGGGATTACTCAGCTGCTTACTGTCCTCCAATCCTTTTCTTACCTGACACATCATTTGCTGGAAGAACCTGAAACTCCAACCATGTGCTAAATGCCAGTTCTGAGTACATGGTAGGTATCTGAGAAATTCTCCGATTGATTGATGATTGGCTGATGTGTACCTAAAGGAAGGGAATGAGCAGTTGCTGTGTAACTCATAATGAGGAACTATTTTCCTGCTAACTCATACCTCTCCTTTCTAATTTCAGACTAAAGACCCCAGGGAAAGATTTGGGGTAAGAAACCTGGCCTCAGAGAAAAGTACCTAAAGTCTATTCTTCTCCAGAAGAGAAACAATAGGGAATCCGCAACGGTGATGGGCACACATCTCAGTCTTTGGTTTATCTTACTCATCAAAAGTACCAACGAAGGCTCCTCTGTGAAGCTGAACTTCCCGCTCCACCCAAGCCGGTCAGCGGTCAGCGACAGAACCCAAGGCCCTGCTCACGGCGGCAGGGAGTCCGTGCTCTCCCCAGGCCCTCTACAGGGCACTTTCCAACACTGAACACTGCGGAGTCTCCAGTTACTTGAGAACTAGGAGGCATATATTTTTAGAGACATTCTGCCACCTGGGCAGCCGCAAGTGGATATTTTCTGCCTTTCCTGAGTATCCTGATCGGGCGGGTTTGGGGCAAAAAAGAAAACCCTCCCACAGGGCAGCAAGCTTGGAGGAAGTGCTTGTTAATGCAAGAGGGAGGGCGAGGGGGGCAGCCAGCTGCAGCCCAGAGCTGCTCAAGCTCCTGGAACCCTCAGCATGCTCGCGCAGAGATTTATGGGTCTGCCTTCCCCCAGGACCCCACATCGGTTTCTTTAAATCAGCCTTAGCCGAGCAGCTATCAAGGGGCCTAGTGTTCCCAGAAGAGACAGAGATAACAGAGCCATGGAGATGCCACCCCGGTGTGTATACTAGCCCAGTGGTCAAGGGTTTGTCCCCTGGGCCGGAGGGCAACTCTTGTTCTGTCTCCTCTGTGCAATGTCTCTGCCTGGAAGAGGTAGACCCTGTTGTCAGCTGTGGGAAAAAACCAGCCAGAGTTGCTATTTACACCCTGAACTGCAAGCTGGGTAAAAATAGTGCGAGCAGCTTGGTCCGGCTTCAAACCCCACTGCAGAGAGAGATTATTTTTGGAAGAGAAGACTTTCCTCCCCACCCACAGATCTGAAAATGGTCACATCCCCGTAGGAGGAGAGGGGAGACGTTCCCACGCAAAGGTGAAATATATCCCCTTCTCCACAGCCCTGCCTAGGACAACACAGCAAGAACCAGTTTAGAAATACCTTCCCCTGGCAGCCAGGCCAGGCCCCAGCACACACCTGCAGGTGACCTACTTCAAGGTACAGCGGGAATTAATTAACTTTGACTACAGCGAGAAGAGGCAGACGCCTGCACCTGGATGCCACCGCCAGCCTGTTTATTACTGCCGTGGAGCTATTTGTGTGCCTTTCAAAACAGGAAGAAAAAAGAATCGCCAAAAGCACACATAAGACCTCCAAACAATAGCTTAGGTTATCTGCTGCTTCAGAGCTTGGGAATGACTCTCCAGCCCTGTCAGGACGGGGTAAATATGGTTATAAAATGATGAATGAGTTCCCCTAAGCCTGGTCTGGTCCCCATTCTGTATGCAGGGCTTCTTGGCTCGGGGGGCTGCAATCCTTCCCTAATGTACTTGCTAGAGCTTCAAACGTGGTGTCTGGGGTCCTGGGATCTCTCTCTTTCAGGGTCAGGAAGTGGCCCGTGTAACAGTCCATTACGGGAAAGTCGCTTCTTTCCCTCCAGTGAGCGGGTACCTGGAGACACATGTAGGTACATAGATTATGATCCCTGTGCGCTTCTAGAGACACAAACGCGTGTAGATGGTTCCCAGGACATGTGAAAAACAGTAGGAAAACACATACCGGATTAATAGCGTTACTACATTGTTCTACAGTCTGAAAGTGCCCAAGTCACCCACAGCTGAGCCCAATAGGTACTTAATAAACATTTTTAGAACGGAAGCGGGAACTACCCCAAATCCTGTCTCTATCTGAGCCTCCTCCTTCAAAGATCTAGGAATCAAAACAAATCTTCTCCTTTGAGGAAACATACCCAGGCATACCTGACTGACTCAAAACAGGGGGTGAGAAGACGACAACATATCACTCCCCAGCTGCTCAGCACCTCCCGGCAGCACCCACAGACCTTCATCCCTCCAACCTCTGCAGGGGCAACGGAGGGAGGGACAGCTGGGTCCAGATGGAAGCATGGGGAAAGATGGGGACGCTCCTCGGGCACGCGGGCCACTCGCTGCAGCCTGGCTTTTTCTCTGGCCTCTCAGGCAACCTCCTACCTGTGTGACTAAGTCACTTGACCTTTTAAAATCCCCCCTGTGGGTCGGGGGGACTAGAGAGCATGTGTTCGGTGTCTGGTGCCGAGGAGGGGCTCCTTGAACCCAAGTCCCAGGAGCAGCTCTGTTTTCCCTCTGGCACACCATGGGCCAGGTCTGGGAATCTAGCCTGCTTCTAGCTCCCAGGTGGTGACAAGTCCACCAAATGACCGCAGTCTTAGCTCCACAAGAAATGCATTGCGTTTGCAGAAATTGCTGAAAAACTTGCTTCGACGTTATTAGGCCTTTCTGCACCCTGCCCTTCACTCGCTGCAGTCCTCCACCTCTCTGTTTCCACCCACTTCCCGGAGCCTTATCAAGAAGCCAGAAATAGAATCTCCCTGCTCAGAGGTCTCTGCCAGTGGCCGAGCTCTGGGCAGCGGAGGGCTGGGTCCGCACCAGCGTCTCAGTAAGGGAGGCCACAGAAATAGAGCCCCAGTGCCCCTTTCCAAGTTTCCCCAACAGATGACATCACGAGGAAAGAGCTGCTGCTCTGCTGTGTCATAGCTATTTAAGCTATTTGTTTTCTGGGCTCTGAGACTCCCCGAGGACCTGGGAGAGGCGTCTATAGATCCCTGTGATCGGGACTGCTTCAGGTGTCTGTTTCCAAAGTAGAGAAATCCAGATAGTGCTGACTCCAGCCCAGGAACGAAGCAAGCTCAGGCCTCTCCCTCCCGCTCGCTGACCTCTCACGGGGGATTGTAGGCCAAGGTGGCCACTTTCCTCTGCAGCCTAAGTCAGCTTCCTCCTGAGTCAGCCTTCTTCACCTTCCTATTAATAGCCACTGCTTTGGCTGGCTCCGCTCACAGTATGATTACAGTTCAATAACACATCTCAAATAAGGAAGCAGTGAACTTCCTGGAGCTGGGCCACCGAGGGCCTGCGCGCTCAGGCAGAAGGAGCAGGGGGACAGAGTGAGGGCGACTAAGTCATTCACCTTTGAGCCAAGGCACTGATCTGGGGGGGGTCTGTCTTGCTGAGCCGCCCCTGGTTTAGGGCAGGAGACAAGCAAGCAGGCTAACTTTGATGTTACTGGAGCTTTCATTACCACAGATAGTCCTGGGCAAGGCTGTAAAAATGTGTTTCTTATCCATTAATGCAGATCCATCAGCTACCCTGGAAGGAAGGTGTGGGCCAAGTTGGGGCTAGTCCCTACCAAGGTCACTTTTTTTCTGACACTACAGTAGCAAGGAGCCCTACTTAGAGAGGCTTGGGTTGTCTGCATGGGGCAGGGTGCCGAGAGCTGAGCGAACACATTTATGCTACCTCTCCCTCCTCTGTCTCTCCGCAGCAGAAGTAGATGCACTAAACAGTCCTTAGTGTTAGGTTTATACCGATAGGCAACGCAGCCAGGTTGCCCTGTCATCTGTTTCAGCGCTCCTGTTCTTCGTGGGCCCTGGATGGGAAGAGCATTCAAGTTCAGGAGCCAGGTTGTCTGACTCAGTCTCTTAGCTGAGAGGACTTAGTCAATTTTCTACCTTTCTCAACCTCCATTTTTGTATGTATATAAAAGAATAATAATCTCTCCTGAAATAGTTTCGGTATAAATTATATGAGGCAGCTTTGGAAAAGATGCCAAGCATAGTGCCTGGAATACAGTGCTTGATCGATAAACTTCCCAGAAAATAAAAGGTGGGGAAATGTGAGGGCAAACCAAAGTCATCGGGCCACTTAGACTAGTGGGGAAAAGGGCCGGCACCTCTAGACGTGCGGACATCTCGGATAAACGTCTCCGATATAAAGGCTCGTGGGAATAAATAGAACTTCTTTTCCCTTCTCTTGGACTTTGAGGCATCATGCTAAGGGGTCTCCTGGCTCTATTCATCGTCCCTAATGACATTTATCGGAGGTGTCACAGCTCATACACAAACAACGGCATCAAGAAGAACACGTAGGTGAAGGGTAGGGAAGGGCATCCGCCTGTTCCACCACTGGGTGCTCTATCTACGTTTTGAGGGCCCCCTTACAAGAAGTAGGTTGGCCTGACCTTAGGGTGAACCCGGCTATCAGCAAGGCCAAAGGAGAAACAAAATATCATGCATGTCCTGTTTTTCAACTTGCTGAGAAATATTCTGGCCCCCAAACACCTGCTTAATAAATGGCAAAGAGCCAGGCCCCTTTAACCCAGCACCAGCCGGCCTCCCTCCGCTGACTACTGCAAGTCTGGCTAGGGTGCGGGGGAGGGCGGGGTGGCGAACTTTGTTCTTGCTACAGCTTGCTTCCTTCTTGGCTGCCAGCAGCAGGCGCATATCTGATGGGAGCCAGCCAGAGCGCCTGGCAGCGTGAAGTGGGGCAAGCCCCGGCACGACCTGCCCCCAGCTGGGCACCGACTGGGGCTGGCTGAGGGGAGGAGAGCTGGGGCTAAACCAACTTGGGCTCGTTGTCCTAAAAGCGGACCAGAATTCCCCTCACCTCCATAGGCAAAGGAGCAGGACTTCCCCTGACACCACCTGGGGAAGGGTCCTTATTTCCCCCTTGGACCTAACATGATTTTATCTGTATGCAAATGTTAAGGGGGGAGGTGAGCACACCGTAATTCATTTACATGCCACACAGGCCACCCGATTTAAGGATCAGTCACCTGGACACTACTCACTCCTTCCATCACTCAACAAACAGTTTTTGAACATTTACCTTATACCAGCATTGTTCTGGGTTCTGAGACAAAGACGGTCTCCACCCTAGGAGGGGAACCAGACAATGAATATGAAAATTAATAAATATGTAATTATATATGGTGAGAAACGCTATTGAGAGATGTGCTCAGGTACAGTAGTAGTGGAGGTGCTGGTTGGGGGGAGTGTCAAATTTAAATGAGAGGGTCAGGAAGCTGACACATAAGGACTTTGGGGGAATTGGTGGCAGTTGCCCATGAAGGTGTCCCCTCATTGCTCTGCTGAATTCCCTTCTCTCCTAATGCAAGGAAGGTTCTGTGAACCCCCAGAAGAAATACATCATCCAAGAAGGACTTTTTGTGGTTAACTGGGCCCAAATTCATAACCAGTGTCTAGCAGCCACAGTCTAGAGCTGCTCACACACTGCGTTTCAGGGAAAAGCCACAGACTGAGCTTTCAACATCCTGCTGCCTGATCAACTATTATAAGAGAGGGAGTTCCTGGTTTTGTCTTTTGACCAAGAATTGAAGGATGCCTTGTCCAATCAGAACTGCACAATTATATCCTTATTTGCATATAAACTGACCAATTGGAATGCACAATACTCACCAATCAGAACAGTATCCATTTGGAAGCCTCATTTGCACAGAATCGGACCAATGGAACCTACGGGAGCTTTCTCTATGGAAGGTAGTCTCCCCCTTGGTTTTGGGAATGCACGTTTGGTGTTCCACGGGCTGCATTTCCCTGGTTTGCAAAATGTTCGCTTCAATAAAACGTTTCCTTTTTCACACCTCAGAGTGGGAATTTTTGTTGACAGCTCTAGGAGGAAGGAAAGGGTGTCTCTGCCAGGGATGCAGTGAGAAACACTCAGGAGAAGAAAGGGGGATACGCAATCTTTCTTCCAAGCCTCCTGCTATAGAGACATTTACTTCTCTTTCCTTTCTCCCCACCCCTCCGCCCACCACACCCCAGACATCCATCTGGACTCTGTCGAGGGTCTTCCTGGCACACTCGTTTCCCTACAAGCTCCTCCTTGTTTCTGTCCCCCAGCACGTGCTCATCACACTGAGGGCATTGCCCTCCTGGCACAGCCCAGAGAAGCCCTTCACGGGCTCAGTGTCTTTGAAACAGTTTTCTCCAAGGTCCCCTCGCAATCCTGTCCTTGAATCTCCAGAAGCCAATAGCTTTGACCTGCAGTCGGTAAAACTCACCATTCCTGCTGGGCCAGCAGGCTAATTATAGTCTCCTTTCTATAACTCTTTATCTCAGGGTTGTTTTCCTAAATTAGCATTAGTTAGGTTGATATCGATGCCATCTACCCCCTGCTTTAAGGAGTTGGCCCTCTAGACTGTTTGGAACCAGCCCAGGCGGTGGAGACAGGGTGGAGACAGACAGACCTGGTTGGAATCACAGCTCCCACCTTTACCAGCTTTGTGACCTTGGGCAGGTCCAGTCTTTTCTGGGCCTAGGCTTCCTTATGCGCAAGGTGAGGAGGAGGATAATACCCAGCCTGCAGTTTGTGTATGAATTAGCCAAGAGCAGGCAATTAGCAGATGCCCCACAAATGGGAGTCTTTGTTATTGTATCGGCTATAAAATAACCTGACAAGAATTTTGGCAGCGCCCTGCGATTGATTGCTCTGTTAAGAGTGGTGGCCAGGTCTACATTTCACTATCTATTTGGCCACAGTAGCTCTGTAATCTGTGTATTGCTAAGAAGCAGGTGAAGGAAGGACACTTCAGGACCTGGTAAAGGGGAAGGATCCCAGAATCTCAGATTGGAAAGAATCCTGAGAAAACTCTAGTCCAAGTTCTCGCTATCAGACATGACTGAATTTGAATCCCAGACAGATGGAAATCGTTTCCAGCACAGAGCTGGGCAGCTGTCGCCAACACTGCCCCGGCGGTACTGCTCCTGCGATCACGCATACTTCCCTATATTTATGTCACTCATGTAATCATTAATTAAAAAAATATTTATGGAGCACCTACTATGTGCTGATACTATAAAGGGCACTTAAGATGAAGAGAGGGAGGGGAGGGAGAAGAGATAAAGAGGGTAGAGAGGGAAAGAAAGAAAAAAGAAAGCGCCTTGGTTGGGTAGCTCCATTGGTTAGGGCATCATCCTGATGGGCCAAGGTTGTGGGTCTGACCCCTGGGCAGGGCACTTGCAAGAATCAACTAGTGAGTGCATAAGTAAGTGGGACAGCAAACCGATGCCTTTCTCTCTCTCTCTCTTTCTCTCTCTCTCTCCCCCCTTCCCCTCTCCTTCTTCTTTCTCTCTAAAATCAATCAGTAAAATTTTTTTTTAAAGAAAGAAAAGTGATATGAAGAAAATAAACCAGGGTAACAGTGTAGAAAGTGACAGGGGGAAGGGCAATGAGGTAGGGTGGCCAGAGAAGTCCTCCCTGAAGGGACCTGATGGATGAGGAGCCGGACAAGGGAGGCTTGGGGACAGCATCCAGAGCAGCAGGGACCTCGGTGCAAAGTCTCCAAGCAGAAACAAGCTTGACGGGTTCAAGGCACAGGAATAATTTCCGTGTGGTTGTGGGCAGCGAAGCTGCGGGTAGCACAGTAGGTAAGCCTTGAACGTTGAATTTTATTCTGCTTACAGCACTTGGAGTTGAGGCCCAGCAAGGTCTGATTTATGCTTTGAAAATGTCCCTGCAGTTCTCTGGAAATGTGCTGTAAGTGGCCTACGTGAAAGGAAGGAGTCCAGGCCAGGGTAGAGGGTGGCTTGAGCCAGGTCGGAGCATGGGAGATGAAGAAAGCTGGCCAGG